ATGCAAATGCTCTGTAAATAGTTGTTATACATGCTGTATTGTTTGAGAATAGTGACAAGAAAAAAAAGACTGTACATATTTAGTCCTGACACAACCATTGTAGGCCTAAGTACATAGTACACGTCAGCAACAGTGTTACATTTTTTAATTGTATTTTTTTGATCTGTGGTTGAACTCGAAATCAGGAACCCACAGATGTGGAGGGTTAGCCGTTTATACAATGGAATATTATTCAGCCATTAAAAAGGTAATCCTGCCAACTGTATAGACTTTGAAAACATTATGCTAAGTGAAACAAGTCAGACATAGAATGATCTCACTTATAAGTGGAATCTAAAAAACAAACAAAAATAAAACTCAGAAAAAGAGATGTGGGTGGGAAGTGGAGGGATTGAATGAAGATGGTTAGAAGGTACAAACTTCCAGTTATGAGATAAATGAGCATTGGGGATGTAATGTACAACATGATGACTATAATTAACCCTGCTGCATGGTGTATTTGAAAGTTGTTAAGGGCAAAACATCAACAGGGCAAACAATTATTTTTTCTTTTCTCTCTCTCTCTCTTGATTCTATATGAGATGATGGATGTTAACTAATGGTAATTATTTCACAATATGTGTAAGTAAAGTCATTATGCTCTACAGCTTAAACTTCTATAGTGCTGCGTGTTAATTATATCTCAATAAAACTGGGGGGACAAATTGGAAAATTAAGCTTTAACTATTGCATACGCAACCAGGGGCTTTGCTTTTTACTTCATTTTTATGTTAAATTCTTTAAAAACATATTATCTTGAGATAATTATATTCACAGGAAGGTGCAGGAATAATGCAGGGACATTTCCCACAATGGATACATCTTCTGTAACTATAGTACAATATCAAAACCAGGAACTTGACATTGGTACAATGTGTCTACAGTTCTTTGCCATTTTTATAACCTGTGTAGATCTAACCACCACTACAATGAGATGCAGAACTTTTACAACACCTTCAAGATCTCCCTCCCCTACCTCTTCATAACACACCCCACAACCCGCCCCGCCTCCCAACCCCAACTCCTGACAATCACTAGTCTATTCTCCATTCTATAATTTTGGTCATGTCACGTAGAATTTCATTTTGATTTACCTATAATGTTTGGAGAGTATCTCTACAGATATTTAGTAGGTGCCCTAGGTATAACATTGTTTGTATATAACTTACCTAGTTCTGCTTGTCTCAACATTACCAGTTTTAGTCAAGTATAGAAACCTTTCTTCCCTTTAAGTCCCTTCCCTCTCCCGTATTTATGACTATCTTAAATATTGTTATCTACATAAAATGTATGAGGGCACAGGACAGGGGGCACTGAACTGGGCCTCGTGGGCTTTGATCTTTTGGGGAAAGGGGAAATCGCGGGGACTGCAGAGTTCCTCCTCCCAGGCAGCAGTTACTTCATTTCTTCGTTTCGTTTGTGCAACTGCTGGAAGCAGAAATTACCACTGTGCTTATCAACTTCCCTACTCTCTCCTGCACACAACCACGAATCTTCTGCTTAAATCAACAGACATAATTCAGAAAACTCAAGAGGAGAAGTAAAGTGTATTGTATTAACTTATTTTTTACTCTCTTGTTCTTCCTTCTTGATGTCCCAAGATTCTTTTAAAATCATTTATATTGTTTGAAAAATTCCCTTTAGCTATTTTTTTAAGGGTAGGTCCACTGTTGATAAATTCTCAGTTTTTCTAATTCTGAGAATGTCTTGATTTTTAAAAAACAATTTTTTTGAGAGAGAGAAAATGATTTGTTGTTCCACTTATTTATGCATTCATTGGTTGATTCTGGTATGTGCCCTGACCAGGGATCGAACCCACAACCTTGGTATATGGGGACGATGCTCTAACCAGCTGAGCTACCTGGCCAGGGCTTGATTTCTTCTTCCTGGTTTTCACTGGATACAGGATTTTGAGTTGACAATGTTTTCTTTGAGTGCTTTAAAAATGCTGTGCCACTTCCTTCTGATGAGATATTTGATATCATTTAGATGGTTTTTTTATCCATGCTAGGGAAGGTGTCGTTTTTCTCTGGCTGCTTTCAAGATTTTCTCTTTGTCTTCAGTTTTCAGAGGTCTGACTATGATTCTTTCCTCTGTCCTTTCTATCCAGTGAGCTTTGTATTTCAGGTTTGTTTGTTTTTGGTTCTAAAATTTCAATTTAGTTCTTCATCTCTTATATTCCTCTGCTAAGACTATTTTTTTCTCTCATTTGTTTCAAATATGTTTGTAATTGCTCATTGAAGCATTTTTACGTCGGCTGCTTTAAAATCCTTGTCAGATAATTTCAATGTCTGTATCATCTTGGTGTTATTATCTGTTGATTGTCTCTCTCATTCATGTTGAGATTTTCTGGGTTCTTAGCACAGTGATTTTCAATGTATGAGGACACTTTGAATACTATGTTATGAGACTCTGGATCTTACTTAAATCTTCTGTTTTAGCAAGATTCTTCTGACGCCACTCCTTAATGGGTAGTGATGTTGAGCATTTTTTTCATATGCCTGGACACTTTGAGTACTATTAGACTCTGGATCTTACCTAAATCTTCTGTTTTAGCAAGCTTCTTCTGACACCACTCCTCAATGGGTAGTGATGTTGAGCATTTTTTTCATATACTTACTAGTCATTTGTTTATCTTCCTTGGAGCAATGTCTATTCAGGCCCCTAGTCCATTTTTTAATTGGGTTGATTTTGAGTTATATATAGTCCTTTATATAATACTAGGGGTCCAGTGCACAAATTCGTGCACCTTGTAAAGAACTGAGGGAAAAAGTGCACAAACGTGCACCTTGTAAGGAACTGAGGGCCGCAAGGCTGCAAGAGGCGCAAGGCTCCGTGCCCCTGCCCGGCCCCTCCCGCTACAGCCCCGCTCTTGCCACTGCTCCCTCGCACTGACAGCGCTGCCCCACTCTCACTCGCTGATGGCGTGGAGCAATTGAGGCCGGCACCAGCACCGGGTGCAAACAGTGGCTGCTGTCCCAATCATCCCTTGGGAGCAGGGGAAGGTGGAAAAGCCCTCAGCGGCGATCAGGGCCGGGAGCCGTCGCCACCTGCAGGTGCAAGTGGGGCCAGCGCTGGCAGTAGGAGTGAATGGCAGCTTCGCCAGCAGCGGGTGCAAGCAGGGCTGGCGCTTGCAGCAGGTGTGAGTGCCAGGCAGAACCACAGTGCGCCGGAGCAAAGAATTTTCATAATATCCCAAGAAACCAGAAACACCAATCAGAAAGGATATATGCACCCATAATGTTCATAGCAGCACAATTCACTTTAGCTAAGATCTGGAAACAG